CGCATTGTATCGGCGTCCCATTTTTTTGCGGCCCCCGAGAATACTCTTTAACATTCAACATGGCATATTACGCAACAAAAAAGCAAGTTGGTGTTTTTTTCGTCAGCGGTCTGATAAAAACATTACTCACGCTCTGATTATCGCGAAGAAAGTCGCTTAATTAACGCGATTGCGCAACGCGAATATCTGTATCCGTTAATCAGGAGAGATGTGCGTAATACACACTCTCGCCCCCTGTGACAGCTAATCAATCGCAGAACGACGGGCGAAAAACAAACATCTCATCGCTCATTTATCTCATTTCGTGCGAGATAATCAATCTCTCTGCGTACGAATTCGGTCAAGGTTCGAGATTTTTTTTTCGTTCTCCCGATAACGCACAATGACCCAGTGTTCGTTATCTCGAGCGGAGCCTAACGAGATAGCTTATTGCGTATGTGGCGAATTAATTTGGCACTGATGCGAAAAAATGCAAATTATCGCGACAAGTGTTTACTGAAGCTGGCGCGTTTCGTATCATCGAACGACGACCCACTCGTAAGATAATGCCCCCCTCTTCACGTTAGGTCCAAACTGTTTATCGTCGCACAATAGATGAATTGTGATACTCGAGAGAAGAGAGGGGCGACATATCGCGTCCGATGGCGAATAAACGATAAACATATTTTCGCCCCGAATGGCATAAAAAGAATGGTCGTTGTCATCGAGGGAATAGAGTGACGAGTGACCGTTACGCATCCGTTCGAAGTACGTTGTCAAATTATCCATCGATATGTGGAACCACGGACGTTATTTGCCCAACTCGGACGTACGAACGCAACAATTTATGGTTAGAGTAGGTACTCTTTTCCGTTTGATCAAAAAAAATAAGCAAAATGGTATTCTTGTAAAAAAATATATATTTGATTTTTTTCATAATTTGTTACAGATTAATAGCTACAAATGAGCACGCGAGATATCTACAGAGAAGATATCAATATCTATCAGCGCATCTTACTGAAGAATCGTCGTCCGCGAACGCTCGAGCCTCGGAACAAAACATCTCGACGCTATCCGAACAGAGACGACCACGTCGAATAATGTCTAGAGCCAAGAGATCGCGCAAAGCTCGTTGCAAATGGTTTGTCAAACACGCCACTTCGTTGCCACCTTCGCAGCCAGAGATAGCTGACTTGCCATCACCGGTACGATCGCTTCTATTATTAAATGAAAAATCCGAATTGTCAGATCAATAATTGCCGATTCGTACACAATTTTCAACCATGGAATCATCGCGGCAGCGACTATCGTCATCAGTGTCTTCGTTATTTCAACAGGCTCCTCGTACACCGTCACCGCACGAATCGCGGCACACAGAGCAGCAATCATCGTCGCGATTCGAACCGTCGCGACTCTCGGAGACGCCATCGATCGAACGAGCGCATTTACCGTTGCCAGAGCGATCGCGCCCATCGTCAATGATCGCGCGATGCTGTTCACCGATGCCCGACCGTGCGACAAAAAACGATCGATTGTCACCGATCGAGCTATCGCATTCACCGCCACTCGACCGTGCGATAACAAACGATCGATTGTCACCGATCGAACTATCGCATTCACCGCCGCTCGACTGTGCGACAATGCACGATCAATTGTCACAAATTGAACCAAAAGACAATCGACAGCAAGCGCAAGTGTCACCGTCAGTGCCAAACGAGCAACACCTGTCGCAATTTGAACGATCATCGCCAACACGTGAGTCTGAACAAAATCATTAATCTCGTCCAAGTGTCCCGTCGTCGATGATGAATGGTCGCCGGTATCGGAGCAAACCTCATTATTCTATAGTACAAATTATAATTTTCTAACCGAGATACCGACCTCGGTTTGCGACGCAGTGGAACCCGAAGCGGAAAATTGGCATGAATTTGTAGAGTCCGAATTACAAAAGCAATTTTTACTGTCGAGCCACACGAGCGAGATTAAAAGCACGATGGACGAAACTTCAAACAACAGTTACGACACGACCATTTACAACGAAATGATTGACGATTTGGCGCAATTGGTCAACTTTCCCGAATTTTCGCCAGAGTCAACGGATCATTTTGCTCAATCTGTCGCGGAAACGGCGAACGCCGTTTCTAATATTCCGACAGTGTGTAATTTCGCTAATCGTGACGACGTTGACGATGATCGTTTTATTGAAAGCGCGAACACTGAATCGGACCATTTAGACGATCAGTCGACCATCACGTGATGTAGAGTGTTAAACAATGGCGCGGTCAATTCGATTAATTCCACGACATCAAGGGTATTGACAAGAGCAATTTTTCAAAATTTCCTGACGAACAATAATCATTGTGACGTTGCAACGACCGTTTCAGCATCGACAAAATTACCCGCGGGAATCACCAAATGTCGATACGAACAAGGAATGCTCTATTTCGTACACGGTGCGCGAAAAATAAGAGCTCCGTTGCCGATCAGACGGTCGATGTATGCCGAATTCGAGTCGTTGCACGACACATTCGAATGGACTGTGATATTCGGTGACGCGAACGACGTGGCTTTACTGGAATACGACAGTTGCTTTTGCACGCAGTCCATGGCGAACAAAATCACCGCCGCTTTCGCCACAGTGTACACCGTGCGCACTTGGATGCCCGTGTCGCGCGTTGACCATCGCGCTAATGATTGCCTATTGATGTTGCGCGAGAACTGTTTGTGCATTGTTCCGTCGATATTTCAAAATGTAAAAATGGGCATTGCCAATTTGCAACGATTGGATGAACATCGCGTGGTGATCGGACTGGTGGCTAAAAGAGACAGACATTGGATCAATTGCGATAATACCGTCGTTATAGACAACGCGATATTGTTGAACAGCAATCTGATCGATTTGATCGAACGAGTATCCGAAACGACTGAAAAAATAACAGTATTGCAACAAAATAACGCACCGATATATTGCGCCGTTGTTCATTTTACCGATGTTTCGTACAACGAGACATCCCGCTCGATCTCCATGTACGATTTGAACGCTATGAATATTGTACAAAAAACGAGATGTTTCAATTTTGAGAATATTGTACGATAATAAACAATCTTTTACTTATTGATCTTTTTTATTTTTAATACTACATTACATTTTGTCCAAAGGTGAGTAACGCTTTAACGGATTGTAACAACTCTCCAATGTAATTTTTGAAATATTCATCATCATCATCTGTCGCGTTTACATTGTTGCTCATGCTCGACAATTTCTCCAGAACCGCTTGTAAAGCGTGCAAATCTCGGCGAATTGTCACATCCAGACCGGCGACTTGTCGCGTCGATCTGGTGGTGGTTATGGGTGATACGTTGATCGCATCGTCCCACAATTCGTAGCATTTTGAGTCTATGTTATCGTGCGCCGCTAGTGCCTCGAGATCGTGTCGAATGAAAAACACTGATGCTATCGCCAAACCGCACAACACAGCGATCGTAGTACCAGCCACGGTGTAAACGATGATTCGTCTGGTGCATTGAGGCCGCTTGCGCAAAATGGTAGATGATGGTTCATTGTCTACATTCTCGTAATCGGACGATACGTTCCTAGGATCATTGTCGGTATCACCACGACGCACATTCGCATATTCGTTCGCTCCCGACATATTGTCGTATCTACGCATCATTATCATCGTTGTCGGTCGGTAGATCGATTGCTCCTGCTGTTTCCATTTCGACGGCATGTCATTTGTACCGCGCGTGTCGGTCGATGGTTTGTCGATGTCACCACGAGTGTCGATATCGTTCACTCTTACATGCAATGGCAAAGCGTTTCGACTGCGATGGTGAAAATCATGCCTATATATAAATTTGGCACCTGTTACACTGGCTACCGACATATTTAACAAAAAGTATATGTCGCGATTTAAGTTGAATAAGCTTGCCTGTTATTGGTCGTCGAACCGATCGTTAAATTCATACGCGCAACAGCAACATGTCGTCATTGATAACGACCGCGATTTGTCTTCCATCGTTTATCGTCGCACCGATTGAAAGTACCGATGTGTCATCGAATGTATCATCGAATCAACGTCGAATCTGCAACAGTCGCCAATCGTTCCGCGGAATTGGCAGCGCCGTTGTATTGTCAGACGAGTCACTGAATCGTTCGTTGACGTATGAAATCGTCTCTACGCATTTGGAATGCGTGCAATTGATCAAACATTCTTTGAGCGCGAACGGGACATCGGTCTTCGATGATTCGTTGAGTTTCTTGTCGATCGATGAGAAGAGAACGATTTTGCAGCACGAGCTCGATCGTATGATTAATCAATGGTTGTATACAATTGACAATGACGAAACTGATGCCGCATTCTCGTGCGATCGACGCAACTACCCGTACGCTCTAGCAAGGCGAAATTTTTATGTAACATTTGCACCGGTGAATGAAATGTCAATACGAGGAAACATTTTGAGACTTCCGATCAAAACTATCTACGTGATATCGGAAAAATATGAGCATACTTTAACGGCGCTTAGCAATTGGCCGGATTATTATGTGGACATTAGACCACGATTGTTCATTTTAACGGCTCGTTCTTTAGGATTAGGTACGCACGTAACAAGCACAGATTGATCAAAAAAAGTATCGTGTTATATTGTCGATGTTTTTATGTTACAGATAAACTCGAAAATTCAAATTCACAATGTTTATCCATCTTTGAACGCAGCGACAACATCATCGTGAAGGATACTCGACTGTGCGACTGGGAGAAGAGACTTATGCATTCATTCATATTCGACTGCAATGCTCGATCGGAATGTTTGCACGACCCCGAGAGATCCGAGGACAACGAAGAGTCTGATCGAACCGTGTTAAAAATGAAAATTTATGATATTATGCTGCGAGAAGTGTATCCATTGTTACGTCGCGTATATTCCGCTCTGACTACTCAAAGCGATCGGTATAATATCGCATCAGACACACTCAACTGCATATTGTAATTTTGTCCGTAAAATACTATGTATGTCTCTTATTGTCTAGTGCGCTTATTTTTCCTTGTTCCAAATACACCTGATTGTTCAACGATGGATCGTTTGTTGCGCATTTTCGGACCGTGCTCGTTATTTGCGTTTAGTTCCGGCACGATAATGCTCGCCTTCGGTGCGATAATGCTCGACTCTGGCGAAATAATGTTTGGTTCCGGTGGGACACCGCTCATCTCCGGCACGGGCTCCGGTGCGACAATGTTCGGTTCCGGCACGATAACGCTCGCCTCCGATGCGACCATATTCGGTTCCGGCACGATAATGTTCAATTCCGGTGCGACAACGCTCGCCTCCGGCACGGGCTCCGGTGCGACGATATTCGGCTCCGGTGCGATAATGCTCGCCTCCGGCACGGGCTCCGGTGCGACGATATTAGGCTCCGGTGCGATAATGCTCGCCTCCGGCACGGGCTCCGGTGCGAGTTCCGGCACGAGCTCCGGCACTGGCTCCGGTGCGACGATATTCGGTTCCGGCACGATAATGCTCGCCTCCGGCACGATAATGCTCGCCTCTGGTGCGACTACGCTCGTCTCCGGCACGGGCTCCGGTGCGAGTTCCGGCACGAGCTCCGGTGCGAGTTCCGGCACAAGCTCCGGCACGGGCTCCGGTGCGACGACGCTCGTCTCCGGCACGGGCTCCGGTGCGACGACGCTCGTCTCCGGCACGATAATTCTCGTCTCCGGCACGGACTCTGGTGCGACGACGCTCGTCTCCGGCACGGACTCTGGTGTGACGACGCTCGTCTCCGGCACGTACTCTGGTGCGACGACGCTCGTCTCCGGCACGAGCTCCGGTGCGACGACGCTCGTCTCCGGCACGATAATGCTCGCCTCCGGCACGGACTCTGGTGCGACGACGCTCATCTCCGGCACCAGCTCCGGTGCGACTCTATCGTCATGAATACTCACTGTCCGCGATATACCGAATTTAGCGCGAGACGTCTCTTTCGATTTTAGCTCAATGGGCTCATCATCATCCAGTGATGTAATGTTGACGTGCTGAATCGGTTCACCGTTAATCGGCAATGTTATTCGCCAACCAGATTGCTCGGAATCTATCAACGCGTTGGAGGACAATGTTACTTTTGTTCGAGTTTCATCCTCGTCACTGGAATAATCGATTATATCGCGCGACGGTGATTCGCTATGTCATCGTGGAACATCAGATTTCGTCGAATTTTTATGGTCCATCCGAGCCAGTTCGCGAGATGCATCGTTCATAGACTTATACGTATCCGTGTAACATTTAATATGATCAGAGTGCAACGGTGCTTTCGATCGAATTAGATATATGACCAACGCGGTCAATCCACCCAATATGACAAACAGACATACAACGCACGCCTGATACCATAACGTCAAATTGGGCATGGTGTGCGTTATTTTTTTTTTATTGCGTAAAATCTCAGAATCTTAATACTTTTATCGCTCTCGAGTCAAAGAAAGCAAGATGCTGCATCAATTGCGCGAGTTTCGAATACAAAGGGCGACGACTCGATGTTATTTTCCGCGCGATCGATCAACGTATCGTTGTGATCGTTTGAAATTGTCACGCAATTATCTCTCTTAGCACCTAGCGTCTCTCGAACGAATATCAATTCAGCCAAACTCCGTTCGGTAGTGACTAAGCTGAGTGTCGTGTGAACCAAACGTTCAATGTTAATTATACAAGCGAGTAATGAAAATATTCGGCGTTCTAAACTCGAGCAATAAACCGTGGTATCGTTTTCATCGATGGAAACAAATGCATTGTTATTGACAGTTACTCGATGATCGGGAATCCCATCGGCAGCGAGTAACGCATTTTCGAGCGCCTGTTCGTCGCAACAGATGTACAATGTGCCGGTATTGACATCGAATAGCTCACCGAACGGCACGCTACCTCGTGCATCGCCAACAGCTGACAATGGGGGTGAAATGTGCGTGACGTTTCTCACCACATCGTAAAAATACGAAAAGTACATAGAAATACATGGTAAAATTCGACAAGTGCTCGGAACGTCATGTCGATCGACAGCATCGACGCACAAATCGCGAGGATCGGTGCATCGGTGCGGTACCGACAGCGGAGGTTCATCGTTCGACTCGACCGAATTATTCGTCTCGTAATCTGAGGACGATGCGAATCGAAAAGCCTCTTCCAAAAAGACAACTCTGGCCAACAACTGTCGATCGTGATCATCCATAGCATCGTATGTTACTTGCGTTTGACGTAACATACGATCAACCGGTGGTCGTTGATATTCGAGCGAACGACACTTTCCCAGTACGAAACGATGTCGCATCTTCAGACGCCATCGTACACCGTTTGACATTTTTTCGCAATATCAATGCGTAACACTTAACCATTTAACGATATTATGTGATTTGCACCAACAAGTGCGCGCTTTGTTCAATATCCAAAATCGCGCATCTGGAATCTAAACTTATTGCGGACAGATATGATTCATGTAAAGATCATTTGTTTTGTCGCGATAGCCATTTGCGCAAGAGAGATCTTTGCGCAGAAATGGCCCAAGCTTTGCCGGCAATCCGAAACTCACATGCGTATGTTTTGGCAAAAGACGCAAATACGTCAATTGTATGAAAGCTACGATATCAAACGATTGGCCGAAGATATGAAATTATTCACGATCGACGATAGTGACTATGATTCGTCGTTGGACGAATCTTCGAAACCTCAACAATTGAAACCTCGTACAATTGAAACGATGCGAATGGCTGACGCGATCGAACGATCTTGTTCTTCGATCTTTCGTCGCCGGTAAATCGAACGGGTTTGACCATTTGATCTTTTTCATTTTTGACAATGTCGTGTGGACACTAGTTTTGACCAGGCCCGAGCCGTTATCGGTCGAATTGTGCCTCGCGCTACCGTTGCGCCAACAGCGAAACAGGAAAAAAATACTTTGACTTGATGAGCAAGAGGTAACGCATGAAAAAAAAATGAACAATTCACTTTGTCATAAACGTTTTTTTATATTCTTTACAGACAATATTTCAACAATAACCAATGTTCAAATCGTCACGAGACTATTTGTATGGACAATTCGTTACGGTCGAGCCACTGTCGCCAAGAGCCAAGTTTCGACGGCCTGTTATCGTCAAATAACGCATCCATGGGATCCGAACGAGTCGCGCTATTATCATCGGCACGAGTCGTCAACCAATCGATATGAGCATTGCTCAGAATGCGATCAAATGCTGCCGAATTGGTGTATGTGTTCAGATTCAATCGATCGCTCGCGTCGCAACGTTTGAAACCCTCGACCAATTGTAAAAAATATACGGCTAATCGTCGAATAATCTTGTAATAGTTTAATTTGTCACGACCCGCGCGAAAATCTCGCAAGAGACAAAAATTCGTAGCATCTGGATCGAGACTGTTCAGCGAGAACACGCAGCGCACCCGATCGCCCGGACTGTAACCGTACCGCTCGATGGTACTCTGAATAAACGCGGCCTCCGCACCGATCACAGCGCGCGGATTCAACGCCAAATTGAACGCAAAGGCCTCGATGCCGTGTTTGACTTGGCATTTGTCTAGAAAAGCGAACATGGAAGAGAAAAAGGCCCGTTGATCGTTTATGACTATGCGACAATTGGCTCGATCGTGACGCGTCGCTAAAATCGCAGCGACATTGCGCTGTAACGTGGCGACCGTGTATTTGACGAATTCTTGAGCATTTTTCTCGAATCCTTTGGTGACAAAATGCGACCGTTTGTCGCATCGAGCGTTTTCCAGTATTTTTTCTTGCCGATAATGCTGCACGTTTCCACACCGGAATCCTCCAGATCTATCGTGATTAACGGGCATTCGTAACGACAAAATGTACGGTTTATCGTGCGTACTATCAAAGATTCATATGCGCGTTGTTCAAGCGCGGATATGGTGGAAAAATTTGGCGAATCGTCGCTGCTTTCAGTCGACATTTCAGCATGACGATTTTTCGATCTAGATAGACACAATATTAACCCATCAGTATCACGATACACAACGTTACAACGAATATCTGCCACGTTCCGACCGATTTCAGTCTCCTCGGACACAATAGCGCGAGCGACTCTGACAGCGGCGTTCACTCGAGACGTAACTATCGCCGGTAACGCCATTTCGCAGATCCACGTTGTGTCGTGAAACGTTTCACGCGATAACAGTGTTACCGCGGCAGCCACTTGCGGCGAGTACACCACGCTATGTCGATAATTCAGATAACCGTACATCGAATTGGCGACAACTTTGAACATTTTTTCTTTGCACGCGAAAACGCGACGCTGGAACACATCGCTAGTCTCGCGCGCCATTCGCTTGTATCGTTGGCGCATACGTAAATAATGTGTCCAGAGAGAACAAATGATCGGACGGTCGCGATTTATCGTCGCGCTGCGACAAACTACGAGAATTCTGCGCTTTGAGACATCTTGACTCGACTCGATCATTTCGCGTGCATTGAAAAATTCGACACTTTCGTACCAGCCACCGTGGTTACGCAATACCGCCGAAGCCAATGAGTTTCTTCCGCGAATAATGTAATTTGACATGTCGAGCGCGCAATTAGTCTCGATCGATGCTGAAATCGTCAAACGATCGATAGTTTTGCGCTATTTCGACTCGACAGGCTCGTAATCGAAACAACGAATCAACCCGGTCCGTATGCCAACGTCCAAAAATGCGGTATCGTGATTGTACAATGCCAACAAATGTAAGCTTGTTACCACATACACCATTTCCATGGATAATTCGTATTGACAGCCAATCGAGGGATAGAATGATGCAAAGTCGACGCAGATGGGTCGCCTGAAACAAAAAAAATGAGAAAAAGATAAGACGCACATTTCGTTCGACGTGCGTTCGACGCTACATGTTCGACGCTCGATGAGCGAGTAGCGAGCAGCGAGCCGTGAGCGCGCGACAATAGCGCGGTTCGAGCAATTGTACAGTAGTAACATTCCCCCCTGTACGTAGTACGGAGCAGTAGCGTTCCTGGTCCTATTGTACCTCTGACTGCTCCATACTACGTACTGTACAATAGTACCGGCCGCGCGACGGAACACCTCGTTATATACATTTTACCCCTTCCACATTGCACATTTTGTACAATTGTGGGAGCGTACTAAACGTTATTTATTGGTCAATTATTGCTCCCACTATTGTACAAAAGGTGCACTAGTAGAAGGGGTAAAATGTATACAGGGTGTTTGATAGCTGATCATGCAGACGAAAGTTGGAGATAGATTGGGTGTAGCCGAGAAGAAAAGTCATGTACCATAATGTCGAATTGGCAATAGTTACCGACTTATTAATTAAAATGTGTGAGCCAACGAGCGCGTAGAGAGCGGAGGGCGGCCGCAGTAAGCACGTAAACATTTGATACAGGCGGAGTCAGCGAGTGGCGTTAGGCAAGCGCGCGGCGAGTGGCAACGTAAGCGACAAGAGGCGATCGCGCGCGATGAGCGAGCGAGCTTTTTCTTTATAGCTTTCTCCTTATAGCTCGCTCGCTCCTCGTCGTTCGCGCTCGCTCGCTCTTCATCGCGCTCGCTCGCCTCTTGTCGCTTACGCTCGCTCGCTCCTCATTGTTCGCGCTCGCTCGCCTCTTGTCGTTTACGTTGCCCCTCGCCGCGAACGCTCGCCTATCGTCACTCGCTGACTCCGCCTGTAGCAAATGTCTACGTGCTTACTGCGGTCGCCCTCCGTTCACTACGCCCTCGTTGGCTCACATGTTTTAATTAATAACTCGATAACTATTAGCAATTTGACATTATGGTACATGACTTTTCTTCTCGGCTACACCAAATCTATCTCCAACTTTTGTCTGCATGATCAGCTATCAAACACCCTGTATAACGAGGCGTTCCGTCGCGCGGCCGGTACTATTGTACAGTACGTAGTACGGAGCAGTCAGAGGTACAATAGGACCAGGAACGCTACTGCTCCGTACTACGTACAGGGGCAATGTTACTATTGTAACAATTGCTCGAACCGCGCGATTGCTCGAACCGCGCGATTGTCTCGCGATTGTCTCGCGTTCACGGCTCGCTCACGGCTCGCTCATCGAGCGTCGTGCATGCAGCGTTGAACGACGTTACATAATTGAAACGCATACTCGACATCGAACGTTGAGCGTCGATGCTCGATGTTCGCTCGTTAGCATGTGTATTGCAAGTGTGTAATTTTGTTCGATGTTTGATCGATGATTTATTTTTTGAACGTCCTCGGGCATCGAACGAGCAACGAGCGATACAAAAATGCACGCTCGTGCGATTGTACATGAGAGGAGACTGGTGTCCAAGCAAAAAAAAACTTGCTCGTATACAAGCGGTCATTTATTGGTCGATCAAAAGAAGCACTAGTGTCGCAGATTTTTTTGATG